TTGTATCAACATCTTGTCGATAATTTCATAGTGCAATTTTGTTTGAATAAGCCAATTTCACAGAAAAATAAGGAATTTATCGCAAAATTTAGGCTTTCGTCACATAATCTACCTGTAGAGACTGGCAGGTACACAGACACAAATAAGAAATTAAGAATCTGTAAGTTATGCAATTTAAACGATGTAGAGGATGAATTTCACTTGATCCTTAAATGCCCTCACTAAAGTACGATAAAGCAGAAATACATCAAGAAATTTTATTATACAAAGCCAAGCGTCTTTAAACTAATTAAATTATTATCACTTAACAACGCCTCACAATTAAACAACTTAGGAATACACTTAAAATGTGCAACGGAGCTAAGATTAACGTCAGTCCGATGAAATATTATTATTATTTGTATCAGTAGTAGTTGTTGTTCTAGAAGTAGTTGAGTTCATATAACTTTAAATGGTCACTGTATTACATTCTGATGAGACGTAGGGCTCAAAGGTTGCGTAAAATGCATTTATAGATTACAATTAAGTGTGATGAATAAGCTACCTAAAAGTCTGAAAGTAGCATTACGTGTAACCACTGTCCGCGTTTTAAAACGTTTTCGAAATTTAGCAATTAAGCCGTGGATGTCTTTAAAATACCACTGTTTACTCAGATGTGCAATAATAATAATACATAAAATAAATAAAAATAAATAAATAATAAAGTTTTGCTTTGTAACTTGTATGTTTTCAAGACAGAAAAGATTGACTTGTACATGGTATTATGACAGTTAGTTCCGTTATCTCATTGAGGAAGTCTTTCATTGAAAATATCGCAGCTTAAATTATCCTATTTATATTTTCATATTTGATATATCTAATGTTTCTTAAAAACGGCTGCCTGCTATGTATAGGTAGCCCAATTATGAGGATTGATTTGCCCCTTTTTAAATATATCAGTCTGTATATGTAGGGGAAAAAACAAACTATAGCTACTGATGACTGTTTTATCACATATTTTTACTTCACGTATTACACCCATTCTCAATAAAGAGGTCTGCAACTTATCAAGAAGCGAGTATTATGTCTAACGTTTCAGTTAATGTCTATAATGTTTCTTTTGAATGACTCAATAAAAAGCTTATTGCGTCTAATTTCCCAGTGTGGCCGTGTTTTTTTTTTTTTTTTTTTTTTCCTTTGAACACAAACTTTCGTTACGTCTATTGGCGCAGGTCATTACAGGAAAAGCGGCAAAAGTGCATTCCCTTATAAAGGAATTTGCAAGACCGTTGTCACCAGGCATTGTGAAAAATATTGACTTGAAGTTGAGTGTCAGTAAAGTAAACGTGTAGGTTATGCTTCTTTAAGTACAGTATAATTTCTGTCGGTGTAATTAACTTGCAAATATTATTCAAAAAGATTGTTGTTTTTAAAAAGTCTTTATTACTAAATCAGCTGAAACCTTGGTAACTAAACACGAATATTTCCCAAACTAAAATTTCAATTGTCCACATATTAACACATCGCTTTCTGTCACCAGAGATTAAAATAAAATAAAAAAGTTGAATTCGCAAATATTACTTATTCAACTTCATTTTTCACTTTTTTCGAAATGGAGCCCACGATCAGTATTCAGTCTGGGTGATTAGGATTATTGCTTATCTATATATGTATTCATATTCACAATATATGGAGAATAGCGGGATTTATCAGGTCTGCCATTACGAGAGAGGCAAGTAAGAGGGTGTGAAACTGATTAATTCATAATGAACTTCATTGGCGTAGCTTTTCTATGAATATTTGGTTGGTCCTGAAAAGGACCGTTTGTTGTAAATTTGCAAACAGCAATTTACTTGGCAGCCGCCTTGCTCTTCTTGGGCAGAAGGACAGCCTGGATGTTTGGCAGAACACCACCCTGGGCAATGGTGACACCTCCCAGCAGCTTGTTCAATTCCTCATCGTTGCGGACAGCCAACTGCAAGTGACGGGGGACAATTCTGGATTTCTTGTTGTCACGGGCAGCATTTCCCGCCAACTCCAGAACCTCAGCGGCCAGATACTCGAGGACGGCAGCCAGGTACACTGGGGCACCGGCTCCAACACGCTGGGCATAGTTACCCTTGCGGAGAAGACGGTGGATTCTGCCCACTGGGAACTGAAGTCCAGCACGGGATGATCTGCTCTTCCCCTTTGCTCTTGCCTTTCCTCCCTTACCACGTCCAGACATTTTGTACGATTTCTTTTGATACGACAGTTGACCAAAGAATGTTGAAAGATCGTTCAAAATAGGTATTTATAGCCACCGGTGGGGATTCAGTGCTGCACGCAAATCTGTCCAATAAGACAGCGTAGTCGGAATAACTGCCAATAGGTAAAGAGAGCGCTTAACTTGCCCTCGTTCTCACTGTGCAGCACTCGAGCCTCTAATTTGAATAAATCTATTAGATTGTTTGGTACCAGCATGAAGTTTACAGGGGCCATGAAGTAACTATAGGTAGCCTACATATGGTTTTGCATGATACAAAAATTGTGCTTCACACGTCCTCCTTCCAATAACGTAATTTTTATTAATATTGTTGAAGATATAATGAGCACGGTTTGAGGGGTGAATACCTCATATAGGCTTGAGTTGTATTGCTCTAATCGAGAAACAAAGGTGACTTGGTGTCAGACTTGATTGAAATCCTTAACTGCTGCCAGCTACTTGATTGCAATCAGATCATTACTTTGACAGCAGATAACGTCTGGTTTGACACATGAACTGCTGTCAAGGACTTGAAAATAACAGCATAAAATACGCACCTTGTTTTCGTTAATGATGAGTCCATGTTGGACTGTAAGTGCTTTCATGTTCAGTGAAATGTTACTTTGCCTCGGCTTCGACGCTGCATCTGTTGCGCGCTGGGAACTTCAACCAATCCGATTGTGAATTTCACAACGTGTAGCGCTGGATCCCCTTATTTGCATAACGCGTTGTATTAATACAAAACGCTCCCTTCCTGCAGTATTCAACGTTCATATTGCACGCTAGAATACCAGTACCATGCCTCCCAAAGTGAGCTCCAAGGGCGCCAAGAAAGCCGGTAAGGCTAAGGCAGCACGCAGTGGTGACAAGAAGAGAAGGAGGAAGAGAAAGGAAAGCTACAGCATCTACATCTACAAGGTGATGAAACAGGTGCACCCTGACACCGGTATCTCCAGCAAAGCCATGAGCATCATGAACAGCTTTGTCAATGACATCTTTGAACGTATTGCCGGTGAAGCTTCCCGCCTTGCCCACTACAACAAGCGTTCCACCATCACCAGCCGAGAGGTCCAGACTGCTGTCCGTCTCTTGTTGCCTGGTGAGCTTGCCAAGCACGCTGTCAGTGAGGGCACAAAGGCCGTCACCAAGTACACCAGCTCCAAGTAAATCAACAAAGTCGCTGATTTACACAAAACGGTCCTTTTCAGGACCAACCACATCTTTCCAGAAAAGCTATACCAAATGTTATTAAGAACTAACTGGAATTATCGTGTTCGCACCACTGAAGGAATCGTTTTGCATTCTACGTAGTTTTTTTGCACATACATAGCATTTCCTCTGCTCCTATTATGGTCATGATTCTCAACACTTAAACCACTAAGTGAATTATCACACACTAGTTTGAAAAGTAGAGGCAATGATGAACCTCGGCACACAATTTTAATTTTCTGCTTCACTACTTAGCATAGTGCTTTCTGTAGTTATTCTTAGTCACTCGCCTGAAAAAGATTCACACTCAGCTAAAATACTGTCTTTTTCTGAAGCAAGGTTCACTCGTTAATTGTCATGCATCCCTACACTGCTGATTAGCGCACGCTTTACTTTTTTTATTTATAGAGTATATGACAAATGCATTTAAATTAGGGGAGATCACTGTGTATCCTGGTGAATTTATTTGATTTATTTGTTAACAGCAACGAGATATTGGAGCTGCTATGGTTTTAGCAAAGCACAGCACACAAGGCTAGGCAGTAAAGAAATATTTTCCTCTTCTGTTTGGCCTTTCTGACATTTGTGGCAGATAAAAAAATTATTTAAAAAAAAATCTCTTTCAAGTGCCTTAAACATACACTTCAGCACTGTTGACAATATGATAAATAAAAATCTACAACTACAAAGACAAACTTAAAAGCAATAAAAAGGTTATAATAGCTTTAAAAAAGACAATTTCACCATGATATCTTTTTTATCTGAATTAGATATCTAATGCTCGAAACAGATTATGTCATGAGCTCTGATAAAAAAATTATTTAAAAAAAAAATCTCTTTCAAGTGCCTTAAACATACACTTCAGCACTGTTGACAATATTATAAATAAAAATCTACAACTACATAGTCAAATTTAAAAGCAATAAAAAGGATATAATAGCTTAAAAAAAAAAAAAGACTATTTCACCATGATATCTTTTTTCCACTCTGTTTATACTGAATTAGATATCTAATGTTCGAAACAGAATATGTCATGAGCTCTGTCAGTTTACTTTACTGTGCTAAGTAAGATTTAAGTTCCTTGACTACGTACTTCGCCCTAACAACATTTTCCAGTTGGTTTTTTGAAAAATAATAGTAGCTTAGAGGATTGAAATTTTAGGATGTTCTCTTTACATCGTTTATTTCTTCAACATTCAAGAGGCTACTTTTAATAGCCGCAAGCAGATTATCACCTGTTGTGAGTGGTCATCACTAACTGCCGAGGATATGATGATGCGTTGTACCCCGGTTTCAATTTGCCGACTGAATTAGGCCTACATCACCTATATCCATAGTTGCAAAAAGACGGGAGACTTTAATTTTGCAGATATTTTGTATCGCTTGAAAGGCAGAACTGCATATTTCAGTGAATCATTAATTTGACATGATATTCGGTGCTTGTATGACTTACAGGGTAACAATATATAGGTTTTATTTGTCTTCGGGGAGGAAGGGGTGTTCATAGAGAGGCCAGGGGACATATAATAATTCAACTTCACTGGCATAGCTTTTCTTTGATATTTGTTGGTCCTGAAAAGGACCGTTTGTTTTGTAAATGAGAGGTTTGCTTAACCGCCGAATCCGTACAGAGTACGGCCTTGACGTTTCAAAGCATAGACGACATCCATGGCGGTGACTGTCTTCCTCTTGGCGTGCTCGGTGTAGGTGACGGCGTCACGGATGACATTCTCGAGGAACACCTTCAGGACACCACGGGTCTCTTCATAGATGAGTCCAGAGATACGCTTGACACCACCACGGCGAGCCAAACGACGGATGGCTGGCTTGGTGATACCCTGGATATTGTCACGCAAAACCTTGCGATGACGCTTGGCGCCTCCCTTTCCCAATCCTTTACCTCCTTTTCCACGTCCAGACATGTTTGATTTTCAAGACTGTAGTCAGAATGATGAAAAATTTCCAATTTTGGATTATAAATACCTTCTTATCCGACGCCAACGACCTTCAACACCAAACCTTAACTGGATTGGCCAAAACGAACACTTATGCGTGTAGAGCCAATATGATTGGGCAAAGTCTGCAAGTCGTAGAGTTCAGACACATTTCAGCTATCATTATATTTTTCTTAGCTAAGGATGATCACTTCAAGAACGCTACAGACGTTGGATCCTAATTGGTGGGAATTAATTAGTATATTTCTTTTGCAAATTTTGATTTCTTTCAGAAATCCACTAAACTTGATGATACATTACAGAAATATGCCATTCCTTCACTCTGCCTCGGATTCAATGCTGCATATTTTAGCGCACCTGTCCCACAGGTAGTTATACATATTCAACGATGGATTTTTATGAAAATACATCCAATGAGGTGCGCGTGAAATAGGACAGGAATTTGGGTCATCCAATCACCAAATAGACCGCCTTATTACAAATCTCTGTAGCATATACCCCAAATCATTCAAGTTATTCGTACTCCGAACGAACGACAGATATCTCAACAATGGCTCGTACCAAGCAAACCGCACGTAAATCTACTGGTGGCAAGGCCCCAAGGAAGCAGCTGGCCACCAAGGCCGCTCGCAAGAGCGCCCCCGCCACCGGTGGTGTGAAGAAACCTCACCGTTACAGGCCCGGTACCGTGGCTCTCCGTGAAATCCGTCGTTACCAGAAGAGCACAGAGCTTCTGATCCGCAAGCTCCCCTTCCAGCGTCTGGTCCGTGAAATCGCCCAGGACTTCAAAACTGACCTGAGATTCCAGAGCTCTGCTGTCATGGCCCTGCAGGAAGCCAGCGAGGCTTACTTGGTTGGTCTTTTCGAGGACACCAACCTGTGCGCCATCCACGCCAAGCGTGTGACCATCATGCCCAAGGATATCCAGCTGGCTCGCCGTATCCGCGGAGAGCGTGCTTAACTTCAACGTTAACTCTCAACAAAACGGTCCTTTTCAGGACCACTACAAATCAGAAAAGCTAAACCATTAGTGCTTACATTGCCCGTCCTGAATTGCCAATTCGTACGTAGTTTCTTCTGAAATAAAGTTGATGACTTGCTAATCCTAACTATCCCGATGATACGTCATCATTGCGCAAACGAACTCGCATTATAATTAATAGTTGGTTAAAGTTAAATTTCAAGATGCCTACTCATGCACTTCATGGGAAGACGGATAATTAATGTGTATATGTGCGCAAACGGGTAGCAATGAAGCCGGTTTTATGGTTTGCAAAGGAATGTCAGCGAGCACTTAGGTAGGTCCTGGTGGATTCTTTCGCTTAAAACAACCAAACCCAATACAGAGGTGCAAACATGCTCTTAAAAATGATTAGTGCACAGATTGTAAACTGTGCTTGATCACTTTAGGGTCCCACATGAAGGAGTTTGTGTCAAAATTTCACTCACCTGAAACCATGAATTGTTTGATTATTTTAGGGTTCCACATGTAGAAGTATATGTCAATGTTTCACTCTCCTTGAAACATGAATTGTAAAAATGAAGTCATCGTCTAGCCCTAGAAAAGGAACGTACGCTACTATCACGAATACGAAACGTCCTGCTGTGAAACGTTTTACTCACCTTAAAAATTCAATCATCACTGGTTCCGTTCTTTGATTTATCTCCTACAAGTATAACGTCGTAAAAATTAAAATAATGATAATCTTCTGTATGATCGTTTTTGAGCGACTATAGTTTGCTTGTCACTTCACGGGGAAAATCCACTCCACCGACAGTAAAATATGTATAAATAAACTATTTTCCATTCGTGGTACAAATATTGTATCATAAATGTCAAACTATCATGGAATCACAACATAATTTTCAGTCAGCAACAGAAAGACCTGTTTCCTATTGCACCAAGTACCTGGGTAAGACGAAACTTTCTGGCATTTTTTTCTGGCGAACATACGTTACATATTATTAGCCATGACGTAAAGCCCCTAGAGTTACAATTTTTTAAAATATTTATCAGAAAAAAAATCCTTACGTTATATATATAATATACCATGACTGAATCACTACAAAATATACGGAAAGCGATATAAAAATTAAAATTAAATGACCCGGGACAAACATGTACGTTCCCGGAGCGTACGTTATCAATTACGGCTCCGTACGTACATCATGTATTTAAAGACATGGTAAAAACTAAATTAAAATTGAGACAGTCGTGGAAATTTGTTCTACACACATATATATTTAAATAAATTAATACAACTTTGAATTCATTCAATTTTATTTTTTTTTGGACACTTCGTTCAACACGTAAAATGCACCTCTACATTGCGGTTGGGTGTTAAGTCAGTGTGTGAACTTCGTGAACACGAATGTGAAGGCATCAAGGCTCTTTAGAGGGAATTTCTCTATAGATCACATGTAACAACTCCACACTAAGTATACGTCCCCGACAGAACGTGGATTTCTTTTGCCTTTGCGAAATAATAAAAAAAGGCTTTCATATGATTCCTTCATGTAATAAGCTACCGAAAAGTAGCAAATTAAGCCATTTAGGGGCAGGCCCGGAAGAAAAAGAAGAAGGATATCTTTAAAACACCACATACTCGTAGAAAGGGGCGACGAACTTTCATTTGTGACAGAAAAAAGGCATGGCCCTTTTACATAAAATAGCCTTATAATGATTTTCAAAACAGCTTTTTTTTTCCAAGCAAAAGATCGCATTTTTGCAACAAAGGGTAAGGGATCAGGAGATCGGGGCTAGTTGGACCCCGAGATTAATTGGCCCCTGATTAATTTATGAAAAATTTAAGTAATGAAAGATCATTTTAGACAAGTACTGACCGGGGAAATATTCACAGCGAGTAAAGGGTTTTTGTATCAATATTTTGTCGATAATTTCATAGTGCAATTTTGTTTGAATAAGCCAATTTCACAGAAAAATAAGGAATTTATCGCAAAATTTAGGCTTTCGTCACATAATCTACCTGTAGAGACCGGCAGGTACACAGACACAAATAAGAAATTAAGAATCTGTAAGTTATGCAATTTAAACGATGTAGAGGATGAAATTCACTTGATCCTTAAATGCCTCACTAAAATACGATTAGGCAGAAATACATCAAGAAATTTTATTATACAAAGCCAAGCGTCTTTGAACTAATTAAATTATTATCACTTAACAACGTCTCACAATTAAACAACTTAGGAATACACTTAAAATGTGCATCGGAGCTAAGATTAACGTCAGTCCGATGAAATATTATTATTATTTGTATCAGTAGTAGTTGTTGTTGTAGTAGTAGTAGTAGTAGTTGAGTTCATATAACTTTAAATGGTCACTGTATACATTCTGATGAGACGTAGGGCTCAAAGGTTAATAAATTAGATTGAATTGAAATGCGTAAAATACATTTATAGATTACAATTAAGTGTGATGAATGCGCTACCTAAAAGTCTGAAAGTAGCATTATGTGTAACCACTGTCCGCGTTTTAAAACGTTTTCGAAATTTAGCAATTAAGCCGTGGATGTCTTTAAAATACCACTGTTTACTCAGATGTGCAATAATAATAATAATAATAAATCATAAATAAATAAATAAATAAATAAATAATAAAGTTTTGATTTGTAACTTGTATGTTTTCAAGACAGAAAAGCTTGACTTGTACATGGTATTTATGACAGTTAGTTCCGTTATCTCATTGAGAATGTCTTTCATTGAAAATATCGCAGCTTATATTATCCTATTTGTATTTTCATATTTGATATATCTAATGTGTTTCTTAAAAACGGCTGCCTGCTATGTATAGGTAGCCCAATTATGAGGATTGATTTGCCCCTTTTTTAATATATCAGTCTGTATGTGTAGGGGAAAAAACAAACTATAGCTACTGATGACTGTTTTATCACATTTTATTTCACGTATTACACCCATTCTCAATAAAGAGGTCTGCAACTTATCAAGAAGCGAGGATTATGTCTAACGTTTCAGTTAATGCCTATAATTTTTCTTTTGAATGACTCAATAAAAAGCTTATTGCGTCTAATTTCCCAGTGTCGCCGTGTTTTTTTTTTTTTTCCATTGAACACAAACTTTCGTTACGTCTATTGGCGCAGGTCATTATTTTAGTTGTTTGGTGTTTTCGTAATATTTAATTATATATAATTCATTAAAATCTTCAAATCACTCACGTGCATGATGAGCTAGATATGGTGCCAGTACATAGTAAAAGGTTTTACAGGAAAAGCGGCAAAAGTGCATTCCCTTATAAAGGAATTTGCAAAACCTTTGTTATAACCAGGCATTGTGAAAAATATTGACTTGAAGTTGAGTGTCAGTAAAGTAAACGTGCAGCTGGTAAGGCTTCTTTAAGCACAGTATAATTTCTGTCGGTATAATTAACTTGCAAATATTATTCAAAAAGATTGTTTTTAAAAAGTCTTTATTACTAAATCAGCTGAAACCTTGGTAACTAAACACGAATATTTCCCAAGCTAAAATTTAAATTGTCCACATATAAACACATCGCTTTCTGTCACCAGAGATTAAAATAAAATAAAAAAGTTGAATTCGCAAATATTACTTCTTCAACTTCATTTTTCACTTTTTTCGAAATGGAGCTCAGTATTCAGTCTGGGTGATTAGGATTATTACTTATCTATATATGCATTCATATTCACAATATATGGAGCAAGGCGGGATTAATCAGGTCTGCCACTACGAGAGAGGCAAGTAAGAGATTGTGAAACTGATTAATTCATAATGAACTTCATTGGCGTAGCTTTTCTATGAATATTTGGTTGGTCCTGAAAAGGACCGTTTGTTGTAAATTTGCAAACAGCAATTTACTTGGCAGCCGCCTTGCTCTTCTTGGGCAGAAGGACAGCCTGGATGTTTGGCAGAACACCACCCTGGGCAATGGTGACACCTCCCAGCAGCTTGTTCAATTCCTCATCGTTGCGGACAGCCAACTGCAAGTGACGGGGGACAATTCTGGATTTCTTGTTGTCACGGGCAGCATTTCCCGCCAACTCGAGGACCTCAGCGGCCAGATACTCGAGGACGGCAGCCAGGTACACTGGGGCACCGGCTCCAACACGCTGGGCATAGTTACCCTTGCGGAGAAGACGGTGGATTCTGCCCACTGGGAACTGAAGTCCAGCACGGGATGATCTGCTCTTCCCCTTTGCTCTTGCCTTTCCTCCCTTACCACGTCCAGACATTTTGTACGATTTCTTTTGACACGACAGTTGACCAAAGAATGTTAAAAGATCGTTCAAAATAGGTATTTATAGCCATCGGTGGGGATTCAGTGCTGCACGCAAATCTGTCCAATAAGACAGCGTAGTCGGAATAACTGCCAATAGGTAAAGAGAGCGCTTAACTTGCCCTCGTTCTCACTGTGCAGCATTCGAGCCTCTAATTTGCATAAATCTATTAGATTATTTGGTACCAGCATGAAGTTTACAGGGGCCGTGAAATAACTATAGGTACATATGGTTTTGCATGATACAAAACAAGTGTTTCACACATCCTCCTTCCAATAACGTAATTTTTATTAATATTGTTAAAGATATAATGAGCACGGTTTGAGGGGTGAATACCTCATATAGACTTGAGTTGTATTGCTCTTATTAAGTTAACAAGGTGACAGACTTAGACACCTTAATTGCTGCCAGCTACTTGATTGCAATCAAATCATTACTTTGACAGCTCATTGAAGATAACGTCTTGTTTTGACACATGAACTGCTGTCAAGGACTTGAAAATATCAGCATAATATACGCAAGTTGTTTTCGTTAATGATGAGTCCATGTTGGACTGTAAGTGCTTTCATGTTCAGTGAAATGCTACTTTGCCTCGGCTTCGACGCTGCATCTGTTGCGCGCTGGGAACTTCAACCAATCCGATTGTGAATTTCACAACGTGTAGCGCTGGATCCCCTTATTTGCATAACGCGTTGTATTTATAAAAAACGCTCCCTTCCTGCAGTATTCAACGTTCATATTGCACGCTAGAATACAAGTACCATGCCTCCCAAAGTGAGCTCCAAGGGCGCCAAGAAAGCCGGTAAGGCTAAGGCAGCACGCAGTGGTGACAAGAAGAGAAGGAGGAAGAGAAAGGAAAGCTACAGCATCTACATCTACAAGGTGATGAAACAGGTGCACCCTNTCTATAGCTTCCTGGCCTCAGCGGGAAGAAGAAAAGATAGACAGGGATGTTCTTACAAGCCTCAAAGAGGTACTGAACACACTCCCTACCAATATCTGGCTAGCCCTATTCAATGAGGGCAATATAGAGCGAAGGGGCGAGATGCAAAATGCACTCGAAAAAAGACCCTATAGCGCTGATGAAGTCTCGGAAACCCCAAACATGGAGGTAGAGACAGAAATAAAGCAAACACCCAATATTAATATGCCACTCAGTGGTAAAAGAAAATCAATGCCTCATACCGAGGAAAACGAGGAGGTTTCACCTAACCCCTCACCTAAAGAAAAAGCCAACAAAAAGGCAAGGAAAAGGTCAAACACAAAGGGACAAAAAAGCAGTCCTTTTCAAGACCACCTCAATCACCAGGGGGAACTCTCCTGTGAGAACATAATTGATTCACCACTGGATCAACCAGAAATTAATGGCGAGGGAGTAGAAGGAGAGTGGACTGAAGTCCCTCCCAAGAAACACCCAAATACCCCTAAGCCCTACAAACCTAGACCAATTTTAATGGAAAACCTTCCAAAAGGCATAGCCGACAATCCTCTAGCCCTGAAAAGGGCTCTCGGAAAGGAAGTGAAAATGGTGAAAATAGTTAAAACAAAACGAGGTCATACCCTCGTGTTCACCTCTGATGAAAAATCGGCGGAAATGATACTCAATCAAAACACTCAAAACGAACTGCTCAAAGACACCATTATAAGAAGAGTATCAGAAAGGAAAAATGAAAAGAAAGAAAACTTATTTGTGGTAGTAACTAACATATCCACAAGCATCAGCGACAAAGACATCGCAGATGAACTCAAGCTCAAAGCAACGCGCATGCATAGCGCCCAAACGGGTAAAGAAATATTCAAAGTTAAGATAGAATGCAAAGACAAAAAGCAGAAAGAACATATCTTAAAAGAAGGTATAATGCTTGCACATCAAAAATTCAAAACTGTAGACTACAAGCCTGCACAAACAACAGTAATCCAGTGTTTTAATTGTCAAAAATTTGGACACTATGCTGAACAATGTAAAAACGCCGAATCCTGCAAAAACTGCAGCGATGAACACAATTACAAAACTTGCGAGAAAAACGAGAAAAAATGTGCAAACTGCCAAGGTGCTCACCCTTCTACTTACAAGGGATGCAAAGCATTCCAAAAGGAAGCCCTAAGCGAACAAAAAAAGCAAACTATAGATCAAGCCAAAAACGCTCACCCAGGGAACGTGAATGAGGCAATAAAACTTGCCATCTGTCTAGCAAAAACCTTGGTAAAAGTCATCACCAAAAGACTCAAAATACCAACGAACGACAGCGACATATGCAAGGATATCGCAGAAGCCGTAACCCATGCATACAAAATAAACATCAATGGCGAGATCATACACAAAGTAGCCTTCAACTAAGTCACAGACTCGGAAAAAAAAAAAAAAAAAAAAAAAAAAAAAAAAAAA